CGATTTCACAGAATATAAAGTCAAAAAGATATATGGGTATGTAAATGACATGATATGCCACACAAGTTTACAAGACGTACATGTGACAAGTACAAGGAACTTGCATAGAATAGTATAGTTGAAGACACATACATGTATCACTATAATTGGATATCCCTATAATTTATAGCGTTTGTTTCACATTTCATTACTCAACATTTCATGCACTGTACTACATTCTTTGATTACATCAGTTCTATTTTCAGTAAAACCTAATTGAAATTGATTGCTGTTTATGTTCAATAATTTTACTTTACTGTTGCTTCCATTTTTTCTTCATGTAACACTTACCTCCATGAGTACAAACAACCCAGCAAAAAAGAGTAAAGTAGCCCACTCTATTCTCTCAAATATGGTTTCTAAGTGGAGTATATCTGCTATAATTAACATCATCAGAGCACCAATAATACTTATCCAACCTGCGTCAGGAGAAAAAAAAATTTACAATGTTGATGAAAAATGTGAAGTGTGTACAAAGTGAAATTGTGCAACGATTATAATAATGAATTCTCCAACAATAGCAGAATTGATACAAGGCAGTGGTTAAAGAAGCAATCCCTCCAAATTGACAGAGTTGATGAAATTGTCTTTAAAAAATAGTATTACAGCTTGCAGATAAATGTTACATAACAAGATTTGCAATGAATTTCATCAATATCCCATGACGAGTTTTTTGCAAAAAAGCAACAAACACTTAATTTGCATAGATTCAAATGTCTTTGAGTCATCATAAAACTGCCAATGAAATCTGATGATATACTTGCAATATGATGCATATACTGACAAACAAGCCAAATAAGTATGAAATTTGTTTATGTACTCACCTAAATTGAGATCAATTGGAAGAAAACTATATGTAAAAAATAGTAGTACTGTAATTCCTAAAACTATACTTGATTTAATTAGCAACACTGGGTCTGTAATCTTGTACTGTAAGCAAACAAACAATTACAGATATTTTATTAATTGCAAATCATTGAGTCTCACTTGCTTGTATAATTACTGAAGGAACATAAATAACAAATAAATTCAACTTTTATAACCATGTTGCACAAAATTGAAAATAGGATCTTACAATCTCATTAACTTGTACAAGGTCACAAAAAATTTTAAATGGCTAAAATTTTGCCGCTAAATATCCTTTGAAAAACATATCAACACATCTGATAATGTTGTAGGACATCAATTTTAAATACATCACTGAAGTTATCTTCAGGTTCAGTTTTGAATTACCGGTAAGTGAGAGAATTTTAGGATCTAAAATTGCAGACTCACATTGAAGAATAGAAACAAGGACAGGAACACATATTTGCATACTTGCCACCGTGTCAGTTATCAGTGTGTCCACATCAAATCAACCAAACTAAATATCCACATAATTGTGTTGTTTGTCGCATGATTTAATACCTTCAAAACCAAAACTTTTGCCATCATCATTTTGAAATTTTTTCTTCTACAATGTTTATTTAGGACTAACTAGACAACATTGCCCATTACCCATCTGTCTTGCAAAAACATTTTATTAAACTTCTGAAGGTTTATTTTGTGAATTTGGCAAGTAAAGTGTTAATAAAAATCTTTGTTACATCTTCATTACAAATATCAATTTCTCACCTTCAGTTCTAATTCCGCTAACTTTTCTCTCCAATCTGGATCAACATCAGTTGATTTTCTGTAAAGTACAATTCATACAAAAACCAGGATGAAAATCAAAATAGTGCAGCTTCAATAACAGTATTTGAGTCTACATACTGAATGGAGCAATGGTTTGAGCATAAATGGTGAATATTGAAGATGAAAATGCTTGATGCAACTATAACTATATCCTTCCAACACCAGCATAACATGTACACATACTGTGGAATACTTTATTTTCGCGCAAAAGGCTTTTTGGGCGTTTTGTATGGAATTTATTCGCTTGATTTTATTTTCACAAAATCATCCTTTCAGCGAAAATAAATTTCAAGCGAAAATAAAGCATTCTACAGTATTAGTCAATTAGGTAAACCAAGATTTTTCTGCACTGGGGAGTTCATAACACAAAAAAGTCAGATTTGAACCTGATCTCATGCATACTGATAAGGATATATAATATACATTTACATTAGATTTTGATCAGATTTTTCAATAAACTGGCCTCAATTATTTTTTCATGAATTTATATGATAAAAAGAAGTGAGTGTGTTAGGATGTCCTTCTTACTGTTTTCTGTTGTTGAGTTCTATGGTTAATTCATGTTCCAATGTTACCACTTTCTGTAACAGCAAGGCTTTCACCATGCTCTCCTCTCTTGTAGTTGGCTGAATTCTGGCTGCCGATCGCTTCCAGATTTCAATTTCACGTTTTAACTCTGAAAAATAATTGCAACAATTGTTTAATCATCACTGATTGGCCATTGTGAAACAACACGGTATATAACAAACACTCTGATTGGCCATTATGAAAAACCATTGAATATAACCATGATAATGATTGGCTAGTAAATAAATAATAGAGATTTACGAGTTGACAAATCATATTTGCTGTATTAGAAGATTTATTAAAGACAAGAAATTAAAGAACAATTATGTAGCATTATCATCGCAACCATAATAAACATAGATGGCTTATAAATATAATTCTTCTCTGCATATGAATTACCGGTAAATCATTACTTGTGTTTACTAACTGTAATTCATAGTATTATTATATATTTATGTTTACACAGCCAGACATAGCAATGAATTATCATTTGGACAGCTGACTTTTCATATATACATGTTTAAGGCTGTACACAATGAACTAGAAAAAATGCTCAAAAAAAATTACCTTAAAATCCTAAACTAGGAAATTAACAATTAAATAGGGGATTAATTTTGGATTATAAAGATTTTGTAAATATATAATTGTCACATGTTAAACTTTAATGGTCATTGCTTTTACGTTGCATATGGGCAATTACCCTTTCAAAGATATTTTCTTTCACACATTGTACAAGAAGATTTGCTTAATGGGAAATTTCCGTCAACTGCACCTGATTTTATTAGCAAATTACTTCAAGTATTGCCAAGTTAGAGGAATATTACGTGACCAGCTTACACAGTATAATGCATGGTGATGGAAACATACTGTACTTATCATTTGAATGTGATATTATAAACCCTACAATTACCTTCTTTTTCATATATTCCTATGATTACATAATTGAGCAATTTTTTTCTTGTCAAAATGAGTTTATTTTAATGATTTAGTATCCTCGAATGGAATTTTTGGTTTATCTGTATTTATGATAGAGATGCTCTTCTAAAGAGCAAATACTTGATAGAAATTTAATGGATCTTATATATACATATATGGGAAGATTATCAATTGATTGAAAGTAGCAATGCCCACTGAATGTTTGTTGTGTCATGCAAACGAAAACCCTGATGGTCAATGATGACATCATTCTGCAGCAATTTATGGTTCTCTGAATGTGATCAATTACTCAATGATAAATGTACTTATTTATCAAGATGACACTTTACATGATGGAGTCTGTTTATCATTACATAATGAAAACCTTATTATGTTAAATTTTATTGATATAAAAGTTTACAAATATTTAGATATGTTTAAGTCAAAAAATAAATTAATAAACAAAAATAAATAAATAAATAAATACTCACCAATGATGTCCTGAGGTTCTGTATTTTCTAAAGTCATTCTACTATACATTAGCCTTAGCAATAGAAAACCTCCAATCATACAAAATATAACACCAATAAACATGTGTAAAGTGAACTCAGCAAAGTTGATACCCTGAAAATTTAAACCATATATTCCTGAATGCTTACTGGGTTATCCAACAAACATATGTCTGCATGAAAGTTATCATAACAATAGACATAATGGTCTGGTACCTAAACAAGTTTAGCAGACAAAGATAGACACAGAATACTCCAAGAGAAATATTCATGTTGTTATTCAATATTCACATTATGACAACATGTTATGATTTAATTCTGCAAATGGTGAAGTTATAAGTTAACTAGTCAATCCTGTGTATTGTGACCACCAATGGTAAAGTAATGTTAAAGTCATGTTCCTTCATAGACAGGTGGTCTTTATGTGGTTATTTAATTCATGAATGAAAAAATGACGCAAAAAATGCCTGTTTTATGGACCAATTTGTCGAAAAAGAAGATGGGGGGAAAAAAATGCTCTTTGTTTGAATTTAATTGAAAATATCGGTGTAAAACACTAAATATATTGATTATTTGCCATTATTTTAGCCATTATACACAGTTTACTTGACCAAACTGGTGGTCATTGGCCACATTAGACAAGTTGCCATCTATATACATGTTTTACATGTTAGTTGAAATGGGACTGCTAAAAAAAGTGCAGCTGGTCTTTCCTTATCAGTAATTATTAATACAGGTTTGAACTTTTCTTAGAATGTACAATTTTTGCATATCTAACCACTCATTTTTGTTCACTCACAAGATAATCAAAAATAACCAATACCATTATAACAGGTACATTCAAATATTTGAGATATCTTCTTCGAGCAACAACTATCGTTATTTGATCTTTGTGAATCACATCTTCAATATAAACTATGAGTTTTATACAAAGTTATTATAACATGATGCACCTCTGTCATTTAAGGATGCTACTTGAATAGAGCAATTACACATTTGTTTTAGTTTGTAGAGAAGAGGAAGGATTATGAAGTGTTCTGTCTTAAAATGAGATTTTTAGGAAATAGTTTGAAATATATTGGAAAGATACAAGACCTAAGACCTCTGCCGTGAAATCAAACGTTCTCACATTGTCCACTCATGCATTTAATGTGGCAGCATCTTACTACATTTTCCTAAAGTAACGATTATTTTATTTGCTCTATTAGAAGTGCAACTCCAATGTGTTGTATGTGTTGAATTATTTTCCTCATAGAAACACACCTACATGCGTGTTTGCACTTCTAATAGAGCAAATATGGTATATTAATATAACTATGACATATGGACTAATCACACTAATCTAGTATTGGTTTATGTATTAATGAAAGCCATCATCATTTCCTTCCGTTCTGCTATTAGAAGCCATGCCATCTGTCAAAGTCTGTGTACGACCACACATGCAATAATATATATACCAGCACCACAAAGAATTGAAGAGGAAAATAACTCCCAACTGCTTATTGTTCGAGAGTCAGAAATAATTAACTCATAACATATGTACAGGACAGTATGCAGGTAGAATTTTATACCAAAATAATTATCAGTGAATATATAATTATAGTGAAATTAAAATAAACCTTATTAATTTTAAGTTCTACTAGCATAATTGATCCATTTTGTTTTTCCTATCACAATTGTTTGCAATGCTTTCTCCAAACAACATGCACAACAAGGAAAGAATTGGTCTGTTTTAAATTATATCCAAATAAGGCATATTTTCCAAACATTTTTCATTATTTGTGTAATAGAAACTCTGATTAAAATGCCAACATAATCCTTCAAAACTCTAAATGTTTTATTATGAAGACTATAGATAACCACGCTTTTCATATAAACTTACAGTCACTTATTTATTTATTTTTAATATTATTGTAAAAATAGCTTGTAAACATGCAGAGATAGATTATTTTTTCCTGTACTAGTAGGCACAGCTTATGAGAAGGTGCGTGGGATTTGGTATCATCAATGTTCTATAAAAAGTATAATTGGCCAGGAAACCAAAAAAATATATATATTGTTAAAACCTTACATGTAGTCTTTGCAGAAAGATTTGTGTCATAGTATATTCGCTTAAAGATGCAATATGAAAGAAAACATATATTTTTCAATATTGTTGTTCAGTACTCCATTTTTTAGACCAAATTCATTATGATTTCTCATAAAATGAAAACGTTTCTTTTGCAGGACACACAACAGTAATAGTTGGATGAAAAACCAATTTGTTATTGTATGTACCAAAACAACCAGTGAACTTGAGAATTTGATTGTCTAATACTATTGAATACTGAAATATTTATCAATACAAAGTACCGAACAATATAATTATATGAATTATCCATATTAAAAATATCTTTAAAATATCAATATCTTTAAAATTTGACAATAAATTTATAGAAAAGCTACAAAATTCTACACTAACGTTTCAGGCAGGGAAAACTTTCAAAACATTATTTGACCTTGACTTACCGCTTCCTGAATTTCTTTATTTGACACAATAATCACATTAGGGGGGTCTCCCACTGCAGTAGCGGTACCACCAATATTAGAAAACAACACTAAAGCTATCAGCACCCATATAGGATCTAAATTCAGTACTTCACATAGTCTGTAAAAATGAATACATAATAAAAATTCAGAAAACGTTGCATTATAATATATTTGTAACCACATACATTACAGTAATAATCACTAGCTTGACCAGTCCCAGGCATTAAACACCAAACAATTCAATGAGGTAAATAATACAATTGTTATAAGAATACTGCAAAATATGACATAACCTTTGCAACATGTCAGTCTATACATCATTTCTCTTAAATTAACCTTGTACTATCATGAACACATACACAATGGACTAAACAACATTGTTCCATTATCGATTGCTCTTTCACTACCACAATCGAAGAATTTTACACCCAAATATGAGTTACTGATTTCAAACATCAATTAAATATGAAAATTATACCAAAATGGAAAATATATGAAAATACGTTTGATGATAGCATATTTATTCATTTCATATAGAGGCTATCTCTAATTGTAAGGAAGAGTATAACATTTCTGCTCAGTATGCAAATACTCTTTAATAGTTTATTACTAGGTACTTTGAAGTATGACTCTACTAATGGAGCATACAGTACCAGTACATTACGATGTTATATAAAATACATGTATCTATAGACATAAGATTAACACATTTATGATGTGCACATATGCCTTACACCACCTGTGATGCTGTGAAATATGCTGGCATTCAAGCTTTCAGAAAATAAATGGGTCAATAGAGTTCAAAATTTCATTCTAATTTAGGCATTAATTTTGGAATGGGTTTAATATTTCCTGTCATCTAAATAGAAACTAAATTTATATTTTTCGTGGTTACAAAATAAGGTGTTCATTTATAACAGCTGTGATTGGGTGAACAATGTTTCAATACTGTTCTGAATCTGCATTGCATTCTCTATAACCCTTTATTCAGAAATTCCTGGTGATTCCTGTGTGATGGTTAAAAAATAAATGCAAGGATCTTTTCTAATCATACTGAACTTCCCCAGTCAATAGCCCTTGGATTATAAGCCTACCCTTTCAACTTTAGACTAATGCTAAAAATATGATTGTCAAGTGATGAAACCGTGTCATCGGATATTTTTTTTTTCCTGAAAAATCTCAGTGTATCGGTATATCATAAATTAGGTGTGAACGGGTAAACTGTGCTTCAACATGACTGTGAAAGATGTTAATTGCTTCTTCCACGCTCAGTTTGCAAATAAACCTTTTTTTAAGAAAGTCTTTTTTTATCAAAATCAGTGCCAACAGATAATATTTTAACATTGTGGTAATTCACTTCCTATTTGCGTTAAAAATGCCATCATCAACATTCAGAAATCCTCAGAAAATCGTGTTACAGCATTCTGATTGGTTAATAACAAACTTGACCTGTAATGTCATAGTATGTTGTTGCAAGTCAAATTGTGCAGACAAACATCATTGCGGAAATTGCTTTGCTTAGAAAACTGAAAAACAAATACCTTAATCTTTTCTGTGGTGGTTCTTAGGTCCCATTACTTTCCCCTATTATACATGTTGAGGCCCCTGTCTGGACTTATGATCGGGGAAGTATGATTTTCTTTTTTTGTGATGTAATGTTTAGAATGAAACGGACAAACAATGGAATGACTTTTGACATTAAAAAAGTGGCTGTTAATCAATCATATTTGATCAATTTCAATATAGGTTTATATATTAAAGATGTGGTGTTACATTTAACTGTACTGTCAGCTTTGAACAAACCAGTCGGCCATTTTGAATTTTGTTTTATACCTATATGGAAGTTCAGAATGAGGGAAAATCAGATACTGACCTAATGGTGACTGGTGTTATAAGTAAAATAGTTGTAACATTATCCAGGAATGCAGAGATACAACCCGTAAACAAACAGAGTATGGTGATCAACACCCAGACACGACCTTTGGCTAACTTGTAAGCCATCAATGCTGACCAATCAAACACGCCAGTATCAGCAAATATGGCTACCATAGTCATCTGTAACAAGAAAAAATTGAATCATTGCAATGAGAGTGAGAAATAATCTGTTGAAAACCTTGTGTGACAAAAAAACAATATTTCATTATGACTATAACCTCACCGGAAAACACCAAATTGGCGGGGAAGCTTTTAAACCAGAAAAAAGCCACAACTTTTATGTAAAATAGGAGGCAAACAGGACATACTATATCACACTATCCAAGTCGAATATCAAGCTACACTATTTACAGCGTAACTCATCATTGCAAACTCACCATTCCCCATAACAATGCTAATGTTTCATAGTCAATCCACTTCATAATATACTCCAAAGACGGCCTCTGATTCATTGCAGAAAGAGTTGCCAAGGCAGCCATTGCACCAATCATAGCGGCCAATGTACGATGGACAAGCTGAAACAAACAAAAATTGCAGAATATGTACATCAACCATATGAAAATTGTATCGAATAGCGCCCTCTTTTGTTGAGTTTTAAGAACTAAGGGCACCAAGAATTTAGAAGAAAGGAAAAGAATATGGAATATATAATATATATATAAATGACTTACATCAAACACTATAAGCACATACACTCCGACAAGGATGATGGCCGCATAGATGACTTGGTTCTCTACTGATTTGGGGAGACCCACATAGGAGGCCATGAATCCAACAGTCTGCTCAGTATTTGAGGTGATGATCATCTGGTATTTGTCATGTATACTACAAAAAATACAGAAATCATTCTTAATGTTATGTATGTGCAAATGAATACATGCGTCATGTCATGTGAAATTATTATTACTGTTTGTGCATATGTGGACAATGTATTGTCATGTGGAATTATTATTTTGTGTGTGTAAATACGGACACATGTCATCTCATGTGAAATCATTACTGTGTGTACATGAAAACAATGTATTATATCATGTGAAATTATTACTTTGTGTAAATATGGACATGTCATCTCTTGTGAAATAATTATTACTATGCGTGCACATGTGAACAATAATGTATTATATGTGAAATTATTACTTTGTGTAAATATGCACATGTCATCTCTTGTGAAATAATTATTATTTTGTGTGCACATGTGAACAATAATGTATTATATCATGTGAAATTATTACTTTGTGTAAATATGGACGTCATCTCTTGTGAAATAATTATTACTATACGTGCACATGTGAACAATAATGTAATATATATCATGTGAAATTATTACTGTGTGTGGAAATATGGACATGTGTCATCTCATGTTGAATCATTATTACTGTTTTTAAATATGAACACAATGTTTAACACATTCCCGGCTGTGTATGGCTATTCAAAGCTTTCAGCTGGTGATGTGTTAACAAGCAATTATGTTTGCTGTACATATGTTTTAATTATCAATGGTTTCATATACAAAGTAAGCTTGAGTGACGATCTGAACATCCACTAGTTAAACTGAATGCACAGCACATATTACAAGCATATTATGGCATGTTTCTACAGCGCTATAAATATATATAATATAAAATTAAGGGGAAATATTTTTCTAACAATTTAAGTGGTATGCACAATCTTAATTGTCTGGGTCATCACAGCGTCTGATGCACAGGTCGTTCAACTTTACTGACTTGGGTACACCAATTATAAATATCACGCTGCTTTTCCAGTTTTATTCTATAATTACTTTCTGATTTATATTACACATTAAATTACATAACTTTACAATTTAGGATATGTTCCCAAATCTTGGGGAAGCAATTTAATCAAGAGGTTTAAGCTTCAAATTTTGACCTTTGACCTCAGGGCTCATAGTTCATGAATAATTAAGTTTAACAAGCCAATAATTGGCAGTGAGGCTCAAGCAATTTTGTGCATCTATTTTTTTCTCTACTCAATCTGTGCTGCTGTCCATTTTTTTTCATCTGCTGTAAATTGCTTTAATTTCACAATTTGTGAATTTCAAGAAAGAAAAAGTTTATTAGCAGTAAACATTTGTGGAGCGTTACTTATGTGAAGTCTTTTCTTTTCTTTTTATCAATTTTTTTTTTAATTTAAGCAATGACTTTGTTTTTAATCATTTTCAGGATGCAGTCCAGTCAAAGAATACAAGGCAAATATATAAAAAAGAACATCAGCAACCAAGCTGCTGTCTAATTGATGTGTCAGTTAGGTGTCAGGGTTGGGTAACCAATCGGGCACAAGTAGCTTTGCATTGATTACCCCTTTCCAAATTTACTTGTACATAATGACTACAAATTGGAAAAAAATATATGATTGGCCTCATAACCCTATTATTTTTCTTTGTGAAAAAAACGAAAACATTTCTGTCTCAAGAGGGTACTCGCATCACAAGTGGGCATTATTAGTTAGCATGGTGAGAGGGTAATTGGACTGTAACAATTGAGATTAATATATGTATAATGTATTTTAACATATGTGATTAAATACCCAGATATGGAATATCAATTAGGTACAGTAAACAAGCAGCTTTATCGTCCACTGGGATTAAAGGTCGCTAATTTCACAGACTGATAAATTCACCAAATTCAAACAAATGAGTACATGAATATTAGCTTAAAGTTGATCGCTTCTCTGACAAATCGTGCAATTAAGCTGGAAAATGCACTTGATATAAATAGTGAAATTTGAACGTAGTGAACATTACTCCTATTATAGTACTACTCTAATCTGTTATAGATTCTGGACACATGTGGCAAGGATGTCGGAGAACTCAACCGCATCATTCACTTTGCAGTCAGACAGTCAGCATTTTTAGAAGTCATTACTGCCAGTATTTTATCCCTAGTTAATGTCTCTTGATATCCTTTGGGACAGAGTGATGTAATTAAAATGAACAACAGGCATAGTGAAAACATTGAAACCTTGCCATAGGGAGATTCACATTACTGATAAAGTCAAGTTTAAACTGTAGTTTTTGTTACAATACTGCAAATTGACATCCTCAAAACAAGGACGCATTTTGTATATAATTACAAACTGGTTTTCAAACAAAGGCACTGTTGAGATTTTATTCATTTGTGTTTTAAATACTGCAATCTAGTGACAAGAACTTTATTTTGTGAATCGCATTGGATTTGATCTCCTTTGAGTGACTTGCCACCTTCGCTGTTTTCATCAAAGGACAGTCCGCGACATTTGCACTTTGACTCAGTAGGTCACTGTTTAACCTATCAGAAGGCTATAGACCCATTAGAGAATTGTAGAAGGTAACCAGAGTCTTTAGGGTGATGAGCATTAGGCTAACAGGATGCTTTCTGACAGATTACTGATGCAATGAAGTGTTAAATGGTTAGAGTGGATAAATGGAAGATTTTACCAACTCAATAAATTGTTCAATCAAGTATTCAAAGTTACTGGAGGTTTCAGACAGGGATTTAAAAAATACATATATATTTTAGCACATCAAGTAGTGAAAATTTTACGTCAAAATCTGTCTACAGTTAATCGTTTTAGACTTGCCTGTGGAATGCCTGCTACTTTCTTAGAAAATCATTTCTTTTACACAATAGACAAATACATGTAATGATTTCATACTTTAAATAATGATATATTCAACTTTCGACAAAATTGTTTCAACATAGTGTTGTTCTAGTCAACCATTTCATATATAAATGTTAAACAGAAAGTGAAATTAACTAGTACACAACACCCATGACCTCAATCTCAAGAGAAAGGTCATTCAAGCCCCAGATAATCTACCCTTGAAATCTTACCTAGTTCTTTCTAATGGGAACATCTCCTTGAACTGTGCGGGTTCACCACCTTCAAGAGTGATATCCTTGGATATGGGTAATACCCACGGATGAGCACTTGGTATAGGTTCACCGCCTGCCCTGACTACCTGTATTGTGACGTTGTACCTGGACGCCATTCGATTCGGATCTTCAAACGCCCCTCTAGCAATTATCTGTATGTATCCACTGTCAGACTCCATAGTGTTATCAGATATGTTCAGAGCTGTGTAAATGAGTTGAGGAAACAAACAACGAACTGATATTCATGGGGGAAAATCTATTTTATTGCAAGCACTGTATATAGGGAATATGGTGGGATATTCTTTTATCTATAGTTCTGATGTGAACATGGAGATGAATTTAAGATTAAATTTATTTTGTGTATCTTTGTCAGTGTTTCAAAAAGAATGGATAATCAGTTGATGGACGACTTGCAGATTTCAATATCCCATGGTTGTTATGTCTCACTACATTTGAGTCGTGCAAAAACCACTAAAATAAACATTTAAATATTGTTTTATCAAACCAGGGAAATATTTGATTTGAAACCATTCTTTGGTATATTTGTTTTCATGCAATTCTGATCAAGTATACAAGTTGGTGATGTAATAGGGCAAAAAATGGTTGCTGCGATTTCATTGAGAGTTAAGAGCCACAAGACTTGTAATTGCCCTCAATTAGTATTTCATTCTTTACCATTATTGCATACTCTGTTCTAAATATCATGGTAACATATATCTAAGAAACAATGGATGCAATGACAGAAGATAATTTAACACTGTTGGTAAAACAAAACAAGTCTTGTGGAAGATTTTGGCAGCCTTTTTGGTCTCAGCAGCCATTCTGATTTTGGCAGCCATTTTGATCGCGTCAGCCATTTTTATCCCAGCAACAACTTTGATCTTGGCAGCCATTTTGATCTTACCAGGGTGTTAGTGATACATGTTATAAAAATCCATGTACAGTACACTCTGAAAAAAATACTCGTTTGGAGATAAATAACATTTCAAATATTCTACAACATATACCTCAGCAAAAATTATAACACTTATGTTACATTCTTATCGACAGCAACAAAAAAGCAATTTGGATATTATTCCATGTAGAAACCCTTCTATGACAGGATTTTGATACTGATTTCCATTTCCTGTTATTTCTCATTTTTCTCTGACCTTTTGAACTATAGTGAGATAAAATAATATTCACAGGAGAATATTTGTGCATATATTTTGAGTAAAAAGTCAAAAGTTGAACCCATACAATTGTGAATTAGTTATTTATGAAAACTAGATTTCAAAAATGGAGATGGTGTTGAAGAGAATTTTCCCCCAAAAGATTTGTACAAGAAGATAAAAAATAAATCTCGCAACTACATTTACTATTTATGAAGCTGTATAACAATTTGTGTAGAAGCACTATTAGATATTATTCATACAGCTATTGAAATTATTGATGTTGGGAAATATCCAGGCAACAGAAATTTGAATCAAAGGTGATTAATTGTAAGTCCATACATGATGGAACACAAATGACATTTTGCAGTTCCCATAAAATCAGAGCATCAATTATTTAATATCAGTCGCCTTATTAAAGACCTTTAATAAGGCTACAGAAACAACATCAGTAAAGAACTTTAATAACTAGTTATGTTTATCAATGATATAAACAACTAATGTATTGGTCAGAAATTATAACTATTAATAATCATTTATTAATTTTTGAGTCAAAATTCATTTTATTTTGTTTATTATCGTTTTTACAATATATATTGATTATAGTTTTTAGGCAATAATTAAGCATCACATACCCACTTTTTTTTTGCTGAGTGTGCTGAGAAGATATTCCATGGTAAATAAATTGTGTGAAAATAATTTTCTGTTCCAGTAAAACATTGACAAAAACATTGACATATTTATAATAAATAATGTTTTTCATTGAAAATAATTTCTTTTTTTTTTTTTACATAAACAAAGTTTCAGTATAATGGAATAGTATGGATTAATTCAAACTCATAATATTTACCAGGTTAGGGAGCCTTGCCATAAAAAGTGACTACCAACCCCCTAACACAATCACAATATGAGACCTAATAGGATAACTACTCGCAAATCCTTAGCAAATCTATTTGACAATTAACCATATTTATCAATGCGTTTGTAACTACATCAACTGAAACCATGGCAACACTGATGCCTTTTGTAAAGGATACTCTCATTCATAGTATTCGACACAGTACATGCATATCCGCCTTCTTCACGTTCATTCTGCATGGACATGATGATCTGCGCGAGAAAAAAAATTGGTCTTCATGTCAATCTATTTCAAATTATATATTCAAACATCATGCATACATAGAGATCAAACAAAATTATTTTAAAAACAGTGGGAAAATGACCATAGAGAGCAAATTTCTTCTGTTAATACTTTACAGATATTACAGAATGTTTAACCTTTTCACCACCAGTTCCCTCTTTTCATCACAAAATAGACAAAAATAGAAAACATTTTGAGTAAAAATTTAAAATTGACTCAAATCTTTTCTGTTGGCTCCAAAATTAGGGTTTATGTCCAGAAATATTGAAGAATATACAAAAAAAGTGCAGATAAATTTGGGCAAGAACGATTGATAGTGAAAAGGTTAACGTGTGTTTATACCGGTAGCTTGAAATGAACTGAACTAGATTCAGAGTTCGTAATCATTGTCCTAAAATTGAAACTGGCAGATACAAACAGATAGCAGTTAAATCTAGAACATGTGACAACTGTACACGATACTGTATAAATTTCCCAGAACATAGATTGCAGAAATTCATATCAATTATTTTGGAACCAGTTATGATAGTAATAAATGTATTTCCATCATTTCCCGAAGCTCAATTCGTTTAAGCCAATCTTACTACCCAGACAGTAACTGTGTTTTAGAATGATTAGGAGTTTGTGGGGTTTTTTCTTTGTTATGTTGTGTACATTATGTCCATTTTTATGTTCTATTTATGTTTTATTTTTAGATGTTATGAGTTGATAAATATTAGTATTTAGTACCAGAACTATATTTCCCACATATTCCACAACAAATAAAAAAAACGATAACATGTTAAAAAGCAAGGCAAATACATTGAAATGTGGAAGTCAGACAACAATTCAGACAATAAGATATTTGGACTGAATAAAATTATAAAATGGGTCTGACATGGAGGTGCAGAGAAATTAATTGGTTTTTCAATGACAAGGTTTGAGAATGACTTATGAAATTATTGTTTTCAGTATCAACATGAGACAATTCTTGTAATATTGTTATTAATAGATGTCAACCATGATCTTTAATAATTCCAAGCAAAGCAATAAGTTTAAAATAATTGTAAGAATCCCAAAATAACTTAAAACAAAACAGATGGTGTTTTTCCGCAGAGTAATAATAACTTAAGCTCTGATAATACATGTACATGTACAAAGACTGGAGCATATCACAGTTACTGTACATACCAATTTGTACACTGAGTATTCAAAGCACACTGAACTAGTTAGGAAATAGCCTTAAAAGCTAAATACGGGTTTTGTGATCAAGATAAACATAATTGTAGTGAAAGACATGCAGTACATAAGTACATGATTTTATCAGTCTGTGTTGCTATGCAGCTGTCATATGACATCGAACCACCTTGGGGATGTTGCTATGCCCTTACAAAGAAATTCAACTACAAATAACTATAATAGCACTATACAGATAGCTTTATTTGTAACGTTGATTGGATACAAATGTAGTTGATTAGTGTCCAATCTATATTAGAACTTTGATATAATTTAATGTGATAATGTCTCCATAGAAGGCAATATTTAAAATTCCTGCAATATGATTGGTTTATGGATAAAGGTCACTTTCACATGACCTCAGTTAGTATAATATCTTCCCCATTTTCACCTCCAAAACACAATAATTTCATTCTCAAATCTAGTTGAATTTAGTAAATCTGATTTGCATCAATTATTCAAGTGCAAAGTATATGCAGTCTTCGTAACGACTGAAAATGCTTTTGCTGTAATAGTCATTTATATGCGACTCGCAGTTTCTAACCTACATTGACTATGTAAATGAATTAGACATTTTGATTGCCAAGTCTCCATGTTTCTGAGTATTAATTTTATCTTTTATTAAGTTTTCTCAACATTACCTGTACCCAAACATAATAATTTACTTCATTATTTATTAATTTACTGCCAATAAAATGTTATACCATCTCATAAAAATAGCGACTATCATACATTCATTACATTATCTGTCTGTGCATTAAGAACACCAATTAATAATTCCTTTTATTAAATGTGGACATGAAGTAAAAGTTCTTGCATTGCAATCACTTTGAAATAAAATTAATGCAACGTTTGAATTTCAAGTCAAAATTTTTCTATTATCATTAATTGTTGAGAAAAAACAAGTTTTAGAGACATGTTTGTGTTTTGTGATGTTTGCCTCTCTGAGTACAGAAAGAAAACTTTTCTAAATTCAATAGATATTGTAACAATGAATTAAAACTTTTTGCCTGTGTTACATTCAGATCAGCTGGAAAGTTTTCATAGTTAGGTAAACTTTGATAATGACAACTACCCAGTGTCAGCGTCTTTACCTCAATAATGGCTGATTCACACGAAACATACATCCTATTAAATTCACTATCGCAATGTGAATTGATCATAATAATCTTAATTTGTTAATAAAGCATAACAATTTTATTAAACAAAATTGCCGAATTAAATTGCCTTTCTAAAACATTCAATAAATGACTACAGAATATGAAACATATGTGCAAGATAATAAGGTTATTATCAGTGTTAATAATATTCAATATCTCTTTGAGAGAGATTTAAAAATCTCTGTGGATGTCTCAAAAATTAAGAATACCGTATTACCCCGGGCACGCGCCCCTCCCTGGGCAAGCGCCCACACCTTTGTTTTCACAAAAGTTACATGTTGGGGACATCCTCTGTTAAACGCCCAGGGTGATTTTTAACCAAGAACGGGGTCAACAATAAAGTTTTATTTGTCAAAAACGAACGCGTTTTATTTATTTAAATAGTGTGTTTGTTACGGTAGTTCTCTTTTTGGAGTGTGTGGTGGCCCTAAAAAGGGCCATTTTGTTTGTGTTTTTACGTAAAAACTCTTTGGAACTTAACAACGTAAAATGAACCACGCAGCATGTGGCGCACACGTTCTGCTTTCTCTTCATTCACGATGAATCCAATATTGCAATAATCCATACCTTGGTGAGTGGTTTGAAGCACTTAGCTATTCTTCAGTA